TATGGTTAAGTTTAAAGTAGGACGGTCATTCATATCTAAGGACAAATAAACAGAATTCCCTCCAGTGACTCCAATCTCATCACTTGTCCTTGAAAAGGAATCAGCAGGAAAGCGGGTATGCAGACTGGGTAGAATTAGCAATTGAGCAATCCGGTCTCCTGGGGAAATGGACACAATACCCCTTGGAGCTTCCACCATAACCTTTACTGATCCTACAGTATCAGGACTAATGACTCCAGGAAAGACATGAAGACCTTGTAATATAGAGGATGCACGTCCAATTAGCAAACCTACAGTGCCAGGTGGTAAAGGCCCTTTGAATTCAGTTTCCACCAATTGGACTCCCATCTTAGGTGTTAGTACGAGTCTGGAGGTGGAACAGAGGTCCAATCCCGCGGCACCTGTAGTGGCTCTCCGCGTCTCATGGGATGGCGTAGAGATGGCCATGTCTCGGGTTTGGGTGTGACATTCTCCATTGCCCCATATATTTGTGGGCCCTGGGGTCGGGGGCCCCTTCGGCCGTTTTTTGGCCCAGCTGAAACAGGCTGTCCATAGATGTCCCTCACTGATCTACACTCTTTTGCCCAATGCTTCCCCTTTTTACATTTTGGACACAGCCCAGGTTGACGAAGGCCATTGGAAGGGCCACCGCGAGGGGGTCCAGTAAAATTATCTTTTTTAGGACATTCACGTCTGAAATGACCAGGTTGACCACAATGGAAGCATGTTCCTGCACCAGGACTGCCCCCTTTTGCCATCCGAAGGACAGCAGCTGCAAGACCTGCATTAGTTAAAGGTCCTCCAATCTCTCTACACACTTTCATCCATGCTTCTATGCCCTTATTTTTATAAGGAGTGATTGCTGCTTTACATTCCTTGGTGCACTGCTCAAAGACCAATTGCTTGATAAGGGGCATGGCTCTATCAGGATCCCCAAAAATCTTTCCAGCGGCATCCACCATCCTTGCTACAAAATCTGAAAAGGGTTCTGTAGGGCCTTGTAGAATCTTGGTCAAATTACCAGACACCTCTCCTCTATTTGGAAGCGACTTCCATGCCCGAATGCAAATGTTGTTAATTTGATCATATGCCTCAAGAGGAAATCCTGTCTGTTGATTTGCAAATCTACCCTGCCCCAAGAGCATATCTTTGTCCCAATGGGGATGTCCCGCCGCATGGTTTTGGGCGGCCTGCTCTATTGCGCCCTCTAGCACGAATGCTCTCCAGTCCAGATATTTACCCGGGGAAACGCAAGCCCGAACAAGGCTAGCCCAATCAGAGGGAGTCATACAGTATCTAGATAGATTTTCCACCTGAGTCAGTGTGAAGGCGGCATCCACCCCATAAGTGCGCACAGACTCTGCCAGGGTCTTTACAATTTTAAAATCTAAGGGTTCATGGACTCTTCCCCTGTTGTCATCCTGAAAAACTGGATAAGCAAGACCCATCTCAGCGTGAACAGCCCTCCATGTTTGGGCATGGAAAGCTCTCCCCGTAGTGCCCCCACCATACGGCGGTGGATCCGGGGGATCGTTCTTCCTGAGCCCTTGTTTCTTTTTGTTCCCTTCTCCTATAGCTAAACTCCCTAGCTGACAAGACAGCCTCCCGAGCTCTTCCTCCTCATCCTCCTCCTCCTCTGACCCACTTTCGCATGGGGGTGTACGCAGCGTACTGAGATCTGGATACAACCGTCTCCTCCCCCGTGTCATGCTCCGCACACTCCCCTCCCCCCGAGTCACTTCGCTTTCTGCCGTCTCCGACTTTTCCTCATGTAATCGCTCTAAAACCTCCTGTCCTTTAGCAAGTGCTTCCTGGCATCTGCCATCTGTAAGGCAACCACGGACCATTTTCCAAAGGGGTATCACCCCACCCTCTAATATGCCCTGCTCAGATGCAAAGTCAAGATCTTTGCCTAATTTATCCCAACTAGGTACAGTAAGGCTGCCCGAAAATGCAAACCACGGTGCAGCGATATCTACCTTCTGTAAAAATCTCTGTAAAGTACTATGCTTCACTTCCAGTCCCTTGGAACGTAACAGGCTATCTAGGGCCAGAAGAAGCGGACTTGAAGATGTGGCACCCATGACACAACGACAAAAAAAATACAGACAGCAGAAACACACTGACGCAGCGAAAGAACCACAGAAAATGAAAGCGAAAGTAGAAGCAAAAGTACACGGTGCAGCTGCAATAAAATGCAAGGCTTCCTCTTTCATTACAGAGGAACTGCCCCGCTTTAGTCGCGAATCCCACTTACTAGGGACTAACCCCGCTTTGATCGCAGATCCCACTTACCTGGGACTAACCCCGCTTTGATCGCGGATCCCACTTACCTGGGACTAACCGGTGCACCACCCCTGACTACTGAGAGTTCTGACTCCCGGGTCTCGGCACCACTTGTCGCGACCCCTTGCCCGCAAGGAAGACGCAACACTCAGGAATCTTCTCTCAGCAGTTTATTCAGGTCCCTTGATATTTCTTATTCTTTCTTCTTCTCTTTTTCCCGGATGCCCTCCCAGCCTTAATAAAGCATCCCAAGCCCCAATGCAAAGCTGCCGCGTGGAGCTTTCTCACAGGGTGGTGAAAAATCATGTGCCAACTCTCTCAGATAAGGAGTTGTTTGTCACATACCACAGCGGAGCCAGCGCCATCTCGTAATGGCGACCATAGTCTGCAGAAACGGCAGAAGCGGCTCACCACATTTATTGCCTTAAAATAAAGGATGGACAGCTTTTACTATCTCATATAGATTTCCCTCTAATGTAATAACAGTTCCTTAACCTAGTATTTTACTTAGCTGTTTTAAATACATTTCTATATCATGAATTTCAAATGGTATTCACTTCAATTTAGGAATATGGGAAAGCAAGATATTTTCTTGATTCTACAAATGAGGAAATTTTGATTATCAGGAAGAATTTTGAAGGACAGTGGAATTTCCATATTGGAAAACCAGAATCCAAATTTAGACCCTCTATTTTTAAAAACACAGCATTTTTTGTAAGGTAGTGAGTATGTTGGTAAAACTTCACTTGAAATTCATGAGGACAGTTTTTTTCTGATTAAATTCCCTTTGAAGATATTTAGATGTCAGGTAGCTGCTTGGCACACTAATCCACTAGTAAACAATTACAAAATTAACCTCCTTAAAAAGAGGAAGAACAAGAATGAGATCAAGAGCTGGGGAGCAAGAAAAAGAAATTTAAAATCATTGTAATAGATTCATTTTCCTAATCTTCAAGTAAGATTACTACAGGAACCACTTCCATTTTTTAAATATATTTTTTAGCTATAGGTGGACACAATATCTTTATTTTATTTTTATATGGTGCTGAGGATTGAACCCAATTCCCCACTCAGTCTAGGTGAGTGCTCTACCACAGAACCACAACCCCAGCCCAGAAGCACTTCCATTTTGTTGTTGTGATTTTACAAACTTTTAGACAGGATTTAACAGTAGCAGTATTGTCTGATATGCCCACTCATTGGAAGGGGTATGGAGGTATAAAAGTAACACAGTATTGAGAGTGTCAGCATTATATATTTTATCATTTAAATAATATGCAGATAAAACACTACAAAAATCTATTTTTTTCTATTTATCTTCTATTCATGGAAGAATTTTTGAAGGTGGTGTCAATTATTCTCTTTTAATGAAAGAATAGCATTTGAAAGGAATGGGCATGTCAGAGGAATGGGGTTTCTAGAGTTACTGATGGGAAATCTGGAAGGCCAATGGGCACATTTCTAGAAAACTCTGGAAGCAAAACTTCCAAGGTAGTTATGTTATTGGGACCCCAAAATATTTTTTAGAAGCAAACTGATTAAGGAAATATTTTTAAAAGTTACTGGATAAGAAATAATACATGATTACAAACAAGATGTATGTAATAATACTACCTAAGTCACTGACATTTATAATTTCCATTTACTTCTGTATGAAATCTTAGGAATTTGTCACAAATATGAGTCTGCCCATTCAATGTCACTTTTACCAAAAATAATTTTATTTCACTTACAGTTTGGTTAAAAAAAAGTTTCAAATACATTCTTTCACACTTGCTCTGAGGACTAAATGCTAAACACATTGCAGATTCTTATTAGCTATCATCATTAATTATATATCTGGTAGAAATAGATCTTATTAAAAGACATTCAATAGTAAAATATGATCCTATATAGCATGTAAATAGGAATTGATTTAATATATACATTTGGAGGCATGTTTTTTTCTAATATTTATATACCCTTTGTCATATGCTTCATTGAAAAAGTTCCCCTGGATTTCATTAGCATTATTCGTGATTTACATAACTATTGGTGGAGTCATGAGAACACAGACTTCTGTGTTCCCTTTTATCTTCAGCCCAAATCTCTGTGTTTATTTCTATAATCCAGAACACTGAAGAATACTGAGGAAAAATAAGTGCTAAGAAACTATATAGAATCCCATTCTCCTGCTGTCTCATGTAGATTTTGGTATGAGCCAGGATGTTCTCATGTTTTATATTTTTTGTTTATAGTTATTCTAATTATTGCTTTTATTATTTTTATTTTTTGATTAAGAGGTAATATAATGTGATATCTAAAACACCTGAGATTTCAAATCACTTATGGCCGAAGAATATCTATGTAACCTCAACAAGTTGCATAATTTTTTCCTGACCTCAGTTTCTTCATCTATAGTATGAAGATAGTAAGACCTATCTCATAGTGTTGTTATCAAGATAAAGTGAAATGTACTTGTGAATCTTTTATTACAGTACTTGACATTGAGTGATAGCATGATATAATTTCCTTTTAATATCATTAATCTACACAAGAAAGAGGAGAATGTGGATACTCACTCTATCAACTTTATAACAGTATCATTATATTTATTTATAAACCTGTAGAAATAAGCACATACTGAATTTTAAATATGGATCAATGAATAACTCCAAACCTATTGATCTCTGGAATTCACATTTAGGTTTAAAGTTCTTTTATTTTCTTTCAGGTGAGGGCATGAACTCAGTCCCCCACTACCACAAATTATACAGTCGAATTTCTCACATTTGGGGTAATCACAGGGGTCAGCACATCTGGAGTGCAATGGATAAGACTTGCCCTGGGAAAACTACCTTTATGATCATGATGTCTCCCCTGTCAGGTAATTATTAGGTTGGAAGTTCTTAAGCAACATAATCAACACAGATAATTACCTGTCTTTAATGAAGAATATTTAAACTTAGCATCCTTCATGTAGGATCACGTTTGCAGGAGCAGCAAACTATGTGTGCCTATAAACTTGTAGTATATAGATAATAATGACCCAATATTGCATTTAATTGAAATGAATAAAACTGCAAATTATTGTCCATGACTGCTGTCTTTCCATGGATCATATGTCTTTATTGTCATTTCTTTGTGCATTTTCTTTGTGTTCAGTCTTTTCCCCAGTGCTTCAAAAGTACTGCTTTTTTTAAACTAAAATTTTCTCCAGGATTAGTGAACCAAATAGGAGCCACTGACATGGTGGTTCTGTGCTCTTTCATTTTAAGAAAGCATAGTGATTAATAAAATATCTTTATATTTCCTCAGTAACTTGTGTTTAGGCTTGCCCTATAACTTAAAGCAAGGTTTTAGACCCAAAGGCAATATTTTACTTGGAGTCTCAAGGTTATGGATCTACTTAATGTCAGAAAATTTGCATAAAATCCAAGTAAATGAGCAAAGTCTTTGTTATTTTAGTGACTTAACTAATGCTAGATTTCAAAACTTATATGTACAGTTGAAAGCAAATTTGCTTAGAAAAATTACATGATGCATTACTACTGAACTTTAAAACAAATTAATTATGCCTGAAAATAGTACTTACCATAGAACATATAACTCTAGGTTTCTGGTTTATATTTATTTTATTTAAAATGACTTAAATTAATGTAATATCTAAAGACAAGAGAATTAATCATAGGAAGAGACCAATTATTTACATAGAGGAATTAATTTTAGCATAATCCTATGAAGAACCACAGAACCCCTGATACTTTAGAAGTAGAATATCAAGTTCATGGAGAGACATTAATGTATTTTTTACAAAGCATTAAGTTTGGAAAATGTTTGTTCTGCCCACAATGTAATTGAAAGTTGGCATTATCATGCCTATAATTCCAGGCTGTCTCTAGCACATTGCTGTCTCCATAATTAAAGTTATATCAAATAAATAAAATTAAGTAGCCAGGTGCAGTGGCACACACCTGTAATTCCAGCAGCTCAGGAGGCTGAGGCAGGAGGATTGCAAATCCAGAGTCAGCTTCAGCAATGGTGAGGTTCTAAGCAACACAGGGAGACCCTGTCTCTAAATAACTTACAAAATAGGGCTGGGGATGTGGCTTACTGGTTGAGTGCCCCTGATTTCTATCCCCCCAAATATTAAGCATTTTGCAGTATTTATTTTCTTTACCACATAGAAATTCATCTAGAAGCATCTCTGCTTGCTATTTGCTTGTGAAAATTTAGTAAAACTCTTGACATGTTACAAAGAATGGGATTTATGCTAGCTCAACATCTTTTAGTTGATCATATGGTGATTTTTAAAACTGATTCAGAGACTATTATTTCTTACAAAGAAATTAACTAGTCTAGGTTTGAAAAACAAAACAAAATAGATGGCATTATTACCCTGTGTTTATATATATATATATATATATATATATATATATATATATATATATATATATAGAGAGAGAGAGAGAGAGAGAGAGAGAGAGAGAGAGAGAGAGACATCAGCATGGGCATACAGTGACCTGTCTTAAAATTGTGCTACAAAGATGTGTAGTCTTTGAGATCTTAAAACTTCAGACACTCAGTATATAAAAGTGTTGTGGAAATTTTAGGGAGAAGAGAAATCAAGGGTTTTTTCCTCCAATCCTATGTTTGAAAAGATCAGGATTTTAAATGCTATTGACAAAATTTATCTTATCTTTATGATATTGCAATGTAATCTGTGGATCAAAAGCATTAATATCATCTGAATATTGTTATAAATGCTGAAAAGCAGGCCTTGGATGTACCCACTATATTTAAACAAGGTATCCAGGTGATTCTTATACATACTAAAGTTTGATCGGCATGACTTAGTGGTTAGTCACAAAGTATTAGTACTTTTAGATAGAAATAACTATATATCTATGACATGATGAAGTCCAATTTATTTGTTATTGATATTGTTTGATAAATGATGCCTTTATCATTAAATAATTGCTTGGAGGGATGTCATTTTTCATAGTAGGTGGTTCTAATTAGCGTTTTACACACACAGATACACATACACATACACTTATTTGAAGTGAAGTTAGTAAGGAGTTAATTTTTCAGAAATACCATGTAAATTATTTTATATAATCAGAATCCAGGAAAACAGAACAATTGATTATAATCATAATAGAATGGAAGAAAATTTGAGGTTTATATTTGTTCAAGTTAGAGCAGTAAGTGGGAGTTAGGACTTGAGCTTGGGCCTTGGTACTGTTACTTTAATACTTTTCCCCCCGTAAAATATACTCCAGATATTACTTTGAGCCTCAATTTCCTTTATCTGCATAATAAGAACCATGTTGATACTTATTTTTCAGGGTTATTGTGAAGATTGTATGTGATAATACAAGTCTTGCACTTAGCACAATGCTTGTAATATAATAAAAGAGAAGCATAGCCTTAGTGAGCTTTGGCAAGATTAGAGTGAATTATAAGTATAATCACATTGCTCAGAAGTATATTATAGTTAAGTCTTAGAATCCCAGAATTTTGATTCCCAGATCAATGAAACTAAAAGAATGAGAATAGATCCTAATCTCTCACCCTGCCAAAAAAATCAAATCAAAATGAACAACATCAACAACAACAAAAAACAATTAATAAGTGGGCAAATGACATAGACAGATACTTCTCAAAAAAAGAAATACATCCGGGGGAGGTGAAACATGCCTTTAATCCCAGTAACTCAGGAGCCTGAAACAGTAGGATGGCAAGTGCAAGGTCAGCCTCAGCAATTTAGTAAGAACTTATGTCAAAAATAAATAGATAGATAGATAGATAGATAGATAGATAGATAGATAGATAGATAAATAAATAAATAAAATGGGCTTGGAATATGGCAAGTAATTAAACTTCCCTGGGGTCAACCCCCCAGTGGGGAAAAATACACATGTCCAATAAATATATGTAAAAAAAATCAACATGCCCAGCAATCAGGTAAATGCAAATCAAACTACATCGAGATTTCATCTCATTCCAGTTAGAGTTCCATCCAGAATACAAACAGTTATAAATGGCAGAGAGGATGTGGAAAAAAAAGTAACATTTTTACTCTTTTGGTGGGATTATAAATTAGTACAACCACTACGGAAATCAGAATGGAACATTCTCAAAAATTAGGAATGGAACAACCATATGACCCAGTTATACCTCTCCTTGGTATTTATTCTAAATAATTAAAGTCAGCATACCATGTGTTATATGCATACCCATGTTTATAGTGGCACAATTCATAATAGTCAAACTCTGAAATCAGACTTGGTGTTCATAAATAGATGAATTGGAAAAGAAAATGTGGTCTATATACACAATGAAGTTTATTCAGCCTCAAAAAATGAAATTATATCATTTGCATGAAAGTGATAGAACTTGAGAACATAATGTTAAGTTTAAAAAAAGAGTAAAACTCAGAAAGTCAGGGAACATAGGATCATGTTTTCTCTCTTATGTGGAAGTTAGGAAAAATGAAAAGCTGTGTGTATATATATGTTGGGGTTTCTCATGAAATTCAAAGGAAGAATAATAGAGTAGAAGAAAGGAACCAAGAGGAGGCAGGAGGGAAAGGGGAAATACTAGGGAATGATTGGTCAAATTATATTGTTATCTTGCATATGCATGTACAAATATGTAAAAATGAATTTCACCATTATGTACAACAATAAAAAAATGGGAAAATCTGTTAAGGCATCCTTGTAGATTCATCCAAGACATGGGACTCTTTTTTTTTAGTTCATGGACCTTTATTTTATACATTTGTTTATATGTGGTACTGAGGATCAAAACCAATGCCTCACATGTGTGAGGCAAGCGCTCTCCCACTGAGCCACAACCCCAGCCCCAACACATGAGACTTTTGATTTTCTTTTATTTTTCTTTTCTTTCCCTTTGGAATCAAAATAATCAAAGAAAAAGGAAATAATAATATTGTACAATGTCAGTCTGAGGAGTCAAAAGCCAGAAAAGTCAAAAGCCAGAACTTTCAGTGGGAATTGGAAAATTTGCCTTTGGATCATAGAGGCAGAATTTTGAGACAAAGATAGGAAATTCTGCTACAATATCTTATCTTAGTTTCCCATAAATTAGGCTATGTATTTAGCAAATAAATTTTATATTCTGGCATGCTTGTTTTCATAATCAATTTCTTCTTCACAGGGATATTAATAATCAACTCTAAGAATTTCAGCCTTGAGGACCTTCTTTTACTAACTTTTAACCAATGCCTGCAACAATTTTCTAATCATCATAAGGCATTATATAGTCTTCTACATGGGAAAACAAAATTCTGATTTGCAATTAGTATTCTCAATTCACAGAGCTAATAAGCCACAGCCACATTGGAATCTAGTTCTGTCTCATACCAAAGCCCAAATTACTTAATATTGCATTTTTCTTTTCCCACTCTCTCACCTTATGTCCTGTATTCCTTCCTCCCAATATATGTTGAGCACCTAATATGTGTCAGAAATTTTTTAAAGATAATGTTTATAATCAGCATTATTAATTTCATTTATAAATATGCAATACTTCATAGTTTTGTTCTTTACATGATTTCATTTGATTTGCCATCTACCTACATTTTTAAAAAAGAAATCAAGGTTCAAAGAAATTAAATTATAATCCCATGAATAGGTCTAAAGTGGGATGTTAGGATATAAACTATGACATTGAGCTCCTAATTCCCTCCAGTGTATTACATGATGGTTAAGCAGTGGAAAAAACTCTTGCTTAAGGTTCAGACAAATCTGAGGTTTTAGTCTTGACTGTTCTGCTTAAGAGCTCTCTGATACTGAGCAAGTTTTGACTTCATTGAGACTTGGTTCCCTCATAATAATAGTTTCTACAATAATTGTTACTTCATAGAA